CTCACTGCAAACTCCACCTCCCCAGTTCAAGCGATTCTCCTGCCTCAGCCTCCCAAGTAGCTGGGATTACAAACATGGGCATGTGCCACCACACCCATCAAATTTTGTATTTTTAGTAGAGATGGGGTTTCTCCATGTTGGTCAGGCTGGTCTCGAACTCCTGACTTCAGGTGATCCACCCGACTCGGCCTCCCAAAGTGCTGGGATTACAGGCTTGAGCCACTGTGCCCGGCCACTGGAAACATTTTTATTGGGCTATGCAGTTTGACCTGCTGGCCAGGGGGTAGCACTTAAGGGTAAGATGCAGATGTGGCACAAGCAGATGGGTATTTGATCTTTGTTTACTCTGAGGGGATCTCTGTTGTTTCAGGTAATGAGCTAGATAGTGGGGTTCCCAATGCCCTGAGCTTCCTTCTTGACTGTGGCTTGTGGTGACACACCTGATCTGATTTGGACCCTTTGGCTTGCCCACAAATGTTCTAATGATGAGCACAGGCACCAGTCTTGATAAGGGTGACTGGGGGAACTCCTGGTACATACACTTAGGCCTCTGCTGGAAGTGAGGGGGTTGCACTGCCTCCATGTCCTAAATAGGCAGGAATACAATCTGTTCCCTTTTCACACCCTTGTCATAGGGCTCATCATGTACACTTCAGACGCGCGTTGTTATCTGTCCAGGCCACAGTGTGTCTGAGAGCCAAGGAAGATGCCTCTCTTGCAACTTTCCATGGGGGTGTTTTTGAGGCAGAATATCTTTACTCACTCAACCCAAATACAGACAGCTTTATGGCTCACCTGTTCTTTGACATATTAATGTTGCTGCTTCATGTAAGGGAGAGGTCTGCTTTTCAGCCCATGTAGTGGGTGTCATTTGTGGTGGTGTGAGCTGGTTAGGTTAGTCTGACCTCAGGTGCCAGGAGGACTGGGTAAGTACTAGCTGTGTTAGACTGGGCTAGGTAGCTCTCCAGTCCCCAGGCCCTTAGATGGTCCACTGGATGACATTTACGAGTCCTGAAGGAGCTGGACCTGGGTTGAGCCAGCCCAGAGTTCAGTGCTGTCTGTGTAATGGGGAGAGTTGTGTTGGTCCCTGGGTCACTGGTTGAACTCTCAGGCAGGTCAGGTAGACCAGTCAAGTGGTGGGAACCTGAGGGTAGAAACTGGCCTGTGGTTATTGGGCTCTCCAAGGGGCTCTGGGCTGCAGCTGAAATATTCAGTTGGGGGCAGGCCAGCCATGCTGTGGACCTTTCACTGCGTAGGGCAGGTCCCCGAAGTTGGAAAAATGGAAACTGGAAACTGTGAGGCACGTGGTACACTCACACTTTCCTTCTACAGATGTAGTGTTGGATTTTGTTGTGGGAGGCATGCACAGGTAGGTGCCAGGCCTCCCTACTCTCTCCCTGGCCCAGAGGTGGCAGGGGCAAAGTTAGTGGCAGTTGTGGCTGCAAAATGGTTGGTAGCAACCTCTGGGATTTGGGCTGTCAAAGAAATGCCAAGCCATGGCCACAGTGTTCAAGCAGGGGCAGGGAAAGGTGTACTGGTGACCTGGAGCCTACAAGTCCCATTTGGTGGAAAGCAGTAAAAGTGGGGAGTTGTGTGGCATGCAGTATACCTGTTGCTCCTTTGTACTTCAGCTGTGGTATCTGTGCTAAAGGCTGCAGAAGTGCTTAGCTTTCCCATTTCCTCCCTAGCCCAGGGGAAGGAGGGATGGCATAACTTCTGTTACTTAAACATTGGTTATTTTGATAGTGTCCCATAATTCTCAGACCTTCTTCATTATTTTTTCTTATACTTTCTTTAACTACCTTACCTTTCCTTAAACACTTTTACTTATAACGTTCCTTAGCTACTTCTGAATTCATTATCAGTCATTTCATAGATCTCTGTTCATTCAGGGTCCATAGAGGTTTATTAGTTTATTTTTGTGATTTTTAGAAATTATTTGTAATTTTTGTGTTCTTGTTTTGGTGCCTGTGCATTTGGGTACCTGACCACCTCTTTCAGCCTTTGTAGGTGTTCTTTGGCAATGATAATCTTTCAGTATTTATTCTAACCTGGGATTTTGGGTAGACCAACTGATAGCAACCCTGGACAGCTGACCTTGCTCTTGGGTTCTCTAGTTGGGGTGAGCTGCTGCCTGTAGTTTGAGGTTGAGTGGAATGGTGAGCTGTGCTTTGTAGTCTGATGAGACAAGTAGCTGGGTTTTAATTTGGCAGTGCTGATGGCTGTCCTTTGCAATCACCTCTGATCAGATTGCATTGCATGCTGCCTTCCCCAGCAAAACAGTACTGCTGTTTGGAATCTGTAGTCAGTCAGGGCCATGCGCTCATGCTCTTAGACTCGAGGAGGTCTCTGGGGTTACTGTTCAGCCACCTGGGACAAGCCAGGTTAGGTACTTCCTTTACAGGTATTCATGGATCAGCACTTGCCTTCTGGCCTGAGGAAGCCTTAAAGAGAACATTAAGCGTTAGTGGGATTGTCATACAGTCAGTGGGGTTGGGTGGGGCCAGATGCTCTATTCCATGGATAATTACTGACCTACAGTTGCCTCCAAGCCTGGAAAAGGCTCAAGAAGAGAAGTGACATTACATAAGGAAGCTGGCTAGGGACTTCAGCTATGCAAACCCATGGACTGTGGTTCCTGCAGAGCCATAGTTGGCTGCTTTCTATCATTTAGCACCTTCATTGACAAAAGTGAAGAGCTACTGCCAAAATCCATGTGCTCATCTTTGTGAGCCCCACCCCTTTTCTTCATTTCTAACTAACCTCAGGTGCCCTAGCCCTGCTGGTATTCCCAATGTTTGTCATGGAGAGACAGGAGTGAGCTTCCTGTAAAGCACCTCACAACAATGAGGAAGCTGGATATATGTTTACAACTCTCTTTTCCCCTGCAGAAACATAAGCCCAGGGGAATCTTCTGTGGCACCCTTACAGTTTGAGAGAGGGTGATGATACGAAGTGAAACCATTCCTCTTACCCTTTGAATGCAGCCGTTATCTGTTCTGTGGCTGGAGGGGCTATCTCCCAAATTCAGGGATATTCATGAAAGTATTCTTATCTGCGAATAGTTGGTAGTTGGATTTCTGTGAGGGGGACTGGAACTGGAGAACTCCTAGTTTGTTATCTTGCTGACATCACTCTCTTTACTTCCCTCTCAATTTACTTTTAATAAAGTAAAAAGTATTGAAACCTTTATTAAAAGGTTTCATTACAGTTCCGTGAAGAATTAATAGTCTTTTCATCAAATGGTTCTAGGACAACTGGGTATCTACATGCAAAAGAATAAAGTTGGAGCCTTGCCGCACACACAATGTATACAAAAACTAATGTGAAATAAATAGGAGACCTAAATGTAAAAGCTAAAACTCTAATATTGTTATAAGAAAACATGAGTACATCTTCATGACCTTGAGATAAAAGGCTTCCTAGAAACAGCTTCAAAAGCACAGGCAACAAAAGAAAACACGATAAATTAGAATTTGCCAAAATTTTTTTAAAAAAGCTATTTCAATAGCTTCAATAATAAAAGAAAAGACACTGACCAGGGCGAAATATTTGCAAATTATATAACGACTGGGGATTTATATTCTAAACATAGGAAAAACACTTACAACTCAATAATAAGACAATAACCTGACTTAAAATGCACGATGGATTTCAATAGACATTTTCCTAAAGAAAACATACTAATTGCCCATAAGTGCATGAGAGAATGTTCAATGTAATTGCTCATTAGGGAAATGAATATTAAAACCACAAGGAGTTATCAATGCACATTCACTAAAATAGTCATAAACAGAAAGAATAAGGGTTAATGAGCATGTGGAGTAACTGGAACCCTCATACATTTCTGGTAAGGCTATTGTTAAATTCGTGCAGACTCTTTGGAAAACAGTTTGGCATTTTCTTAAAATGTTAAATGTAAATTTGTCATAAGACTCCACTATTTCATTCACCTATATATGTATATATATGCTCAAGAAATGAAAACAAATATTCATACAAAGACTTATAAACAAATGTGTAATTATATTGCTGATTTTTGCAGCATAATTAGTAATAGCCAAAAGTGTTAGTCCAACTGTCCAGTAACTGGTGAATAGATAATCAAAATTTGGTATATTTATTCAATGGAATAGTCTTTGTCCATAAAAGAATCATTTATATAAGCCTTGAAAACATTGTGCAGAATGGAAGAAATCAGACACAAAATGTTACATATTATATAACGCAATTTCTAGAAAGTGTTCAGAATAGGAAATCTATATAGATAAAAGTTAAATTACTGGATACTAGGGATTGGGGGAATAGAGAAATGGAGAGTAATTGCTGATTGGTATGGAGTTTTTGGAGTGAATGACAAAAATGTTCTCTAACTAGATTGTGGTGATGCTTGCACAATTCTGTAAATTTATTAGCAATCATTAAACTGTACATTTGAAATGCGGAATCTTATTTTATATAAATTATGCCACAATAAAGTTTTATAACAGCATGAATGAGGTAAATAATGACAAATCACAACTCTAGATTAGTGTGAAGTGATATTACAAAATGTTTATAACTTAAAAGAAAATCCATATATTTAAGAATATATTATTCTACTTTATAATTTACTCTGCTTTTTTCTGAAAGTGCTATGGAAAACAAGTTAGAATAACATCAAGGGAAATAACTTTAGGCTATTATTGACATTTTCTGCATTCAGATCTCAATTACAGCTTTTGCTAGCCAAGTGATCATGGATGTGTTATCTAACTTCTCTATTCTTCAGTTATTTCATCAGAAAAATAGTGATAATTAATAGCTTCTATATCATTAGCTTGTTGTGATGTCAAATATTTAACACAGGTAAAGTTCCTAAATATTATTAAGTCCTAAGTAGATAGTAAATTGTAATTATATGTTTTCACCTATTGTCTTCATTATTGACAAAATAAATGAAGAAATATGTTTTCAGGAACAGGTCTTGATTTCTCACTTCTTTTGTTTGTTTTCTTTAGGTGTCTTCAATGCCCTGGGTTTACCTGTGACCCAGTGCCCACTGGGGCTGAATGTCAAAGGACTTCCTCTAGGTATCCAGGTTGTGGCTGGACCCTTTAATGATCATCTGACCCTGGCTGTGGCCCAGTACTTGGAGAAAACTTTTGGGGGCTGGGTCTGCCCAGGAAAGTTTTAGGAGGACCTTCTGCAAGGTTAATGTCTGTGTGTGTGTGTGTGTGTGTGTGTGTGTGTGTGTGTGTGTGTGGTGGTGGTGGTGGTGTTTCTGTTAATTGGGTGAAATCAAGCACCAGCAGGCAAGCAGAAAAACAACTGGGGAATTTATTGACTCATTTAGTTATTCTTTCTACTTTTATTTCCTTCTCTAACTGTTGATCTTACTAAAATGGTAATATTTGCTTCTTGCCTTTATGTTACTGGAAAATTAAGACATGTAAATGGACAAGTGCAATAAAGTTTCCTAAATGCTGGAATCATGTCTGCTTTGGGTACAGCAGGGAAATTAAAGAAGGGAATGTCCAGTGCTAAAGAGGGAATCTTAAGAAACTTTAGAGAAGAGATGATGCTGAAACCAACAAATGCAGAGTTACGTGTTTTCCAGGCTAGCCATTAAGTAAGGGAATTCCAGTTAGAAGAAGCTACAGTGAAGAAGGCAAGGACATGCTGCTGTGAGTTAGTATGGCTGGCAGGGAACTGGAGGGAGGTACATAAGTAATGAGACTATGGTAAGGAAAGCTCTTCCAATATCCCCCAAAAATGTTTTATAATTTTGTTCGCTAAACAATCCTAGAAGCAACAGGTCCTTGAACAACATTATACACACACACACACACACACACACACACACACACACACACACACATATAAAATGATATCATTATATATATAGTCATATATATAATGGATTTAGAAAGTCATTGTTTTGCAACCATTAAAATAATACTTAATTCATACATAACTCATCAATGGATCCTAAAACCACTGGACAAAAGTTTGACAAACAGAATATTTGTAGTCTCAAAATATCTTTTCACCTACCACTTATTAATTTCAAGAGTGGGGAATATTACCTGTAGAGTGCAGATATATGGTAGACACCATCATAATCAAATAGCCAACATTAATCTGAACAACAAATCTGTGATGTCCCTGACAAAAATGAATCACCTGAATCTAACTATAATAAATTATCAGACAAAACAAAATTTATAAACATCTTACACAATTAAGGGCCTGTATTATTTAGAAATGTCAAAGAATTAATGCCAGTGACAGGCTAAGGAACTGCTCCAGATTAAAGGTGAATAAAGACCCATGATAACTAAATTCAATGTGTGATCTCAAATTGGAAAAGTAAGATTTTTAAAAAAGATAATGTTAAAACAATTGGACAAATATAAATGTAAGATGTTTTGTAGATAATGTACTGTGGCAATTTTGAATTTCATTTTCTATTTATTTATTTATTTATTTTTAAACTTTTCATGTGCAGAACGTACAGGTTTGTCACATAGGTATACATGTGCCATGGTGGTTTGCTGCACCTATCAACCCATCATCTACATTAGGTATTTCTCTAATGCTATCCCTCCCTCCACTCCCTGACAGGTCCCAGTGTGTGACGTTCCTCTCCCTGTGTCCATGTGTTCTCATTGTTCAACTCCCACTTGTGAGTGAGAACATGCAGTATTGGGTTTTCTGTTCTTGTGTTAATTTGCTGAGAATGATGGTTTCCAGCTTCATCTATGTCCCTGCAAAGGGAATGAACTCATCCTTTTTTATGGCTGCATAGTATTCCATAGTGTATATGTGCCACATTTTCTTTATCCAGTCTATCACTGATGGGCATTTGGGTTGGTTCCAGGTCTTTGCTATTGTGAACAGTGCTACAATAAACATACATGTGCATGTGTCTTTATAGTAGAATGATTTATAATCCTTTGGGTATATACCCAGTAGTGGGATTGCTGGGTCAAATGGTATTTCTGGTTCTAGATCCTTGAGGAATCACCACACTGTCTTCCACAATGGTTCAACTAATTTCCACTCCCACCAACAGTATAAAGACATTCCTAGTTCTCCACATCTTCTCCAGCATCTGTTGTTTCCTGACTTTTTAATGATCGCCATTCTAACTGGCATGAGATGGTATCTCATTGTGGTTTTGACTTGCATTTCTCTAATGACCAGTGGTGATGAGATTTTTTTCATATGTTTGTTGGCTGCATAAATGTCTTCTTTTGAGAAGTGTCTGTTCATAGCCTTAGCCCACTTTTTGATGGGAATTTTTTTTCTTGTAAATTTGTTTAAGTTTTTTGTAAATTCGGCTATTAGCCCTTTATCATATGGATAGATCACAAAAATTTTCTCCCATTCTGTAGGTTGCTGGTTCACTCTGATGATAGTTTCTTTTGCTGTGTAGAAACAGAGCACCTGGGGGAAGGTGCGACTGTGGGTGCGGCTTCAGCAGACTTAAACATTCCTGCCTGCTGGCTCTGAAGAAAGCTGCAGATCTCCCAGCACAGTGCTTGAGCTCCACTAAGGGACAGACTGCCTGCTCAAGTGGGTTTCTGAACCCCATGCCTCCTGACTGGGAGACACCTCCCAGCAGGGGTCAACAGATACCTCATACAGGAGAGCTTTGGCTGGCATCTGGCAGGTGCCCCTTGGGGATGAACCTTGCAGAGGAAGGAACAGAGAGCAATCTTTGCTGTTCTGCAGCCTCCGCTGGTGATACAAAGGCAAACAGGGTCTGGAGTGGACCTCCAACAAACTCCAGCATACCTGCAGTAGTGGAGCCTGACTGTTTTTGCATCTTTGTTTGTTAGAAAGGTGACCTGTAGTTTCCTTTTTTTTGCTTCTTTGTCTGGTTTCAGTATTGTAGTAACCTCAGCATCATAGAAGGGGTTAGGAAGAATCCATCCTCCTCAATTTTTTGGAAAAGTGTGGTGTTAGTTCTTTAAAAGTTTGGAAGAACTTGGCAGTGAAGCCAACTATTCCTAGAGTTTTCTATGTGGGGAGGCATCTTATTACTGATGTAATCTCATTACTCATTATTAGTCTATTCAGATTTTATAAACATATATAAACCAAACACTGGAACACCCAGATGTATAAAGCACATATTATATGTAAGTCAAGGAAAAGATTTCAATATTCTACTAGTTGAAGACTTTAACATACTCCTCTAAGAATTAAACACATAATCTAGGCAGAAAATTAAAAAAAGAATAATTGGATTTAAACTTCTCTTTCACCCAAATGAACCTCATAGACATTTATGGAACATTATATCTAAGAACTACTGAGTATACATTTTTTATCAGCACGTGGAACATTCTCCAGAATTTTACACTATAGGTTAAGCCATGAAAAGGTCTCAACATATTAAAAAAATTAAAATCATATAAAGTATATTCTAAGACCACATGGAATAAAACTAGAAATAAATAGCATGAGAAACATTGGTAGCCATATAAATATATGTAAATTAAACAACAGAGTTCTGAATAAACATGGGATCAACAGAGTAATTAAGATAGAAATAAAAAAATGTGTTGAAACAAATCAAAATGGAAACACAACGTACCAAAACTTCTGAGATACAGCAAAAGCAGTGCTCAGACTAAAATTTATAGCAATAAATGCCTACATTTGAAAAAGTATAAAAGATTACGAATTAGCAATCTAACAATGCACTGCAATGAACTAGAAAAACAAGAACACACCAAGCCCAACATTATGAGAAGAAAATAAATAACATAGATCAAAGCAGGACTAAATTAAGCAGACAATAAAAAAAAAAAAAACCAGAAGATTCATAAAACAGAAAAGATGGTTGTTCAAAAAGATAAACAAGATGGATAAGGTGCTAACTAGAATAACCAAGAAAAGAAAAAGAGAAGGTTCAAATAAAGAAAATGATAAATAAGTGGGTGTGCTACGCAATTCTTGCACTTCTAAAAAGAAATACATGAGATGGTAATTTTTAAAGAAAAGAGGTTTAATTGCCTCATTTTTCTGTAGGATTTACATGAAGCATGGTGCCAGCCTCTGCCCAGGTTCCAACAATTCTACTATTGGGTATCTACCCAAAGGAAAAAAATATATACCAATGGGATACCTGCATTCTCATGTTTATTGCAGCAGTACATAAAAAAAAAAAAAAGATATGGAATCAACCTAAGTGTGCATCAACAGGTGAATGAATAAAAAAGTGTACAATATATACACAATGAAATACTTTTTGGCCATTAAAAACAAACAATGAGATCATGTTATTTTCAGCAACAAGGTTGGGACTGAAGAACATATGAAATATGCCAGACACAAAAACATAAATACTGCATGTTCTCACTTATATATGGGAGCTGGCAAATTTGATCACATGGAGGTATAGAGTGGAAAGATAGATAACAGAGACTGGGAAGGGTGATTGGGGCCGAGGGTGGAGGATAAAAAATAGTGGATTAAGGTGTAGAAATCATAGAGTTAGAAGGAATAAATTTAATGTTTGATAGCAGAGAAGTGTAACTGTAGTTTTAAAAAAACCGTACTTGAGTTACACCCTAAATATCCTGACTCAATCACTACACATTATATACATGTAACAAAATTTCACATGTAATTTATAAATTTGTACAAATAAAATAATTTTAAAAGGAAATTTTATCAAGTATATCCTCGGCACACAATTGAATAAAACTAGGAATCAATAACAACAGGAAATTTAGAAACTGTACAGAAATATGGAAATTAAACAAAATGCTCACTGGGCACAGTGGTCTGTAATCCCAGCACTTTGGGAGGCCAAGGTGGGTGGATCCTTTGAGGTCAGGAGTTCAAGACCAGCCTGGTCAACATGGTGAAACCCTGTCTCTACTAAAAACACAAAAAATGTTAGCCGGCATGGTGGTGGCACCTGTAAAAAAAGGTGGTGGGAATCTGTAATCCCAGCTGCTTGGGAGGCTGAAGCAGGAGACTCATTTGAACTCGGGAGGCAGAAGTTGCAGTGAGCCGACAGCATGGCCGCTGCACTCCAGCCTGGGTGAAAGCAAGACACTGTCTCAAAATAAATAATTAAATAAATAAACAAACAAAATGTTCATGAATGACCATTGGGTCAAGGAAGAAATAAAGGAGAAAATGCATTTCTGGAAACAAATGAAAATCAAAATACAATGACCAAAATTATGGGATACAGCAAAAGCAGTGCTAAGAAGGAAGTTTGTAGCAATAAACACCTACATCAAAAAAGTAGAAAAAGGCTGGGCACAGTGGCTCACGCTGGTAATCTCAGCACTTTGGAAAGCTGAAGTGGGAGGATTTCTTTCTCTTTTTTTGTTAACTATCTTTATTTATTTATTTATGTATTTATTTTTATTATTATACTTTAAGTTCAAGGGTACATGTTCGCAACGTACAGGTTTGTTACATATGTATACTTGTGCCATGTTGGTGTGCTGCATCCATG